AGAAACGGATGTGGGGGAGGACAGAGGTTGGATTTCTTGGCTTACTTTGTCCTCTTTTCTTCTTCTGGGCTTTATCCATTTTGGAATCAAGGCTGGTTATGTAGATACATCATAGTATTTTAAAAAGAGAGAACATGTCCTTCTTCCTGTCCTACTCCCCTTGCAAAAATCTATTCATCAGTGGGTAAGCTTTTCATCCTGGGAATCCTCTACCATGACTGCCAAATCCATTTCTTAGATCATAACTGAGAGTTCCTCTTCTTTAATATATAATGTGCAGTAGTCACAGTAGTTTTTATAATAAAGAATGGTTTCATACTTTTCCTTCCTGTTTGAAAGATGGATGTAGAAAAAAGACCTTTCCAAGCAAGTCATCTTAGTCATCTTTAAGTATTTCAGATAATGCAAATAGTCAAGCATTTTTAGCAGGTAATAAGGACCTCAAGTATGTTCACAATAGTGGTTCCATACCTGTTTGTTCTATACTGGTAATTATAATTATTTTAACTCCTAAGAATCATTCAATGCACAATTCAGCTTATTAGAAGTGAAAAGAGTTTCTTGGTCTAAAGAATAAAAATTGAACTTCTTTCATAGATTGGTTTTGGTATGGAATGATGCCTTTATTTTTTTGCATGATGACAGATCCTCGATGATAGAAAACAATGGTGGAAAGTTCGAAATGCAAGTGGAGACTCTGGATTTGTCCCAAATAACATTTTGGATATTGTGAGACCTCCAGAATCCGGATTAGGGCGTGCTGATCCACCATACACACATACCATACAGGTATTTATTGCGATTTTTTAGCAAAATTTAACTTTTTATAAACTTTCAAATTCAGCACTCTAAAATGGGATTTAATACTTTTTGTGTATTCATTGTTTTGAGACTTAATTTGTTGTACAATTTGTATAGTTTTTTCCCCCCTAGGGTAATTGGGGAGCAATGGTGAAAGATATAGGGAACAATTACATATACACATTTTTTTTCTGATTTATTACTTTAGGAAAGTGCCTAAAATGTTTACCAGTAAGTGCCTGTTTCTCTTTTTTCCCATCCTATAGCACTTCTGACCTTTGGAGAAGCAGTATTTCTGCCACTTCGCTCTTGCTCATAGCCTTCCTATCCAGTGGCTTCTTTTTCATAGAGGAAGGCACCGTGACAATTGGAAGGTGGCTCATCTTCACCATCTTTTGCCCTCATTCTCTTAAATGTTCTGCCCCTGACCTTGAACTTGCACTCTTCCCCTCCACCCCCTTACACCAACACATGAATATTCAGTTGGACTATAATGTTCCTCTCTTGATTTTAAGATTAAAATACACTTATGACATAGGGTGGATAGATCAGGCCCTCTCTTCTTGATCATTAAATAATTTTTGAGTCACATGCTACATTTTCAGGATTTCATTAACTCTGGTATCTCATTCACCCTAACATCTGAATCCACTTACTATTTAACTGTTGGGATTTTTGACCTGTGACAGAATCTCTAGAGTCCGGTCTACCAGCAGAGGCGGAATGGATGGACCACCCCATGTGTAGCCTGTGGACCTGTGGTGGTTTCTGTATCATGCCCCCAAGAAGAATTATTTTAATTTTCAGAGTTTTCGGCAAAAAGTCACACCTGACCCCACAGTAATGTCATGAATTTGAGTAGAAGCTACGCACACTATCCAGTGACATAGTTGATGTTCATGCCAGGCCCAGGCTTGTAAGGTACAGATTGTCCACATGTAGGATTGCAATCATACCCCTGCTGCAGGACCATTCATTTCATTACTCATGGCCCCTCATACCGTTCACACTGAGTACAGGGCCTGTACTCATCCAGAGTGGCTTTTGGCCTTATTAGAATCCAAGAGTCAAGCAAACTTTTTTCTTTTTTTTTTTTTTTTTTAATTTTAGAGAGGAGAGAGGGCAGAGGGGGAGAAAGAGACTCTTAAGCAGGCTCCACGCTCAAGTGTGGAGACTGATAGGGGGCTCAGTCCCACAACCCTGGGACCATGACCCCGAGCTGAAATCAGGACTTGGACACTCAACTGACTGAGCTACCCAGGCGCCCCAGGCAAACTTTTAAAGTAAAGAATTAGTGTACAATGTATGTATCTTGATAACTTAAGGTGAGGGCGGTGGAAATTCTGTTTGCTGTGCTTGTTTCGGCTAGCCTGACGTGCATACATACTGTGTACTTAATTTATGTTCATCATTTGTCATTAGCTGTTGATGCCAAAGAAGGAGTTTGAGTTATTCAAGGTATGATCTTCGACTCCATTTCCTGTGGATTTTTGAAGTGAATTTTCTGACTTAGTTTGAATACCTTTTTCTCTCCTAAGTGCCTTTCTGACACTGAGATGTGGTTACCTGACATAACAGAGGCTTCCGCCTGGTGTATAAGTGCCCGTGCCTGACCTTCTTTCCTATAGAGATTTGGACCAAATGCCTTAAACAGTGCTAAAGAGTGTATACTTGAAATATATGCCTAAAACCGTGATGGAGTGTATACCCTCGGAGCTTATGCAGTGTCTTTAACAGTTAACTTGTAATAAGCTGTAAGAAACACTGTTCACAGAGACCTTCTCTAGATGCTGCCTGTGAGCGGGAGCCAAGAGTTAAAAAAAATTAGCCAAGTTTTGTGTGTGTTTGTGCGCCTCCTTACTAGGGATGAGCAAACTCCAATAAAATACCCCAAACTTGTGAATCACATCAATTCTGAGTATTTTCCCCCACCAGAGATTTCCTAAGGAATTTGTCCTCTTTTACCTTTGTCTGTTTACTGCTCAGTCTTGTCTTTTCCTTGATTCTTGGCTTGGGCCATAAGTTGACTTCTCTGTGTAAAGGTTGCTGCTGTTTAAAACCGGAGCTAGACTGATACGTATCGCAGGTAGGGAAGAGTACTTTTTGAGGACATAAATGTTATTCCTCCTTTCTTGAACAGAGCCTCATCTTATATTTTTGGCAACTTTGGCACAACCAAGAAATTTTTTAAGTGCTCACAAGTTTCAGGAGTTTGTTTTGCTACTTTATGTAAATAGAAATGTGTGGGAATTGCCTGTTTGGGCTGGTTCCTTTTAAACTTTTCAACACTCTCTGACTGTCTTCTAAAAATTTCTGGATGCAGCTCTGGATACAGTGATATATGTGGAAACGCTAGAGAAGCTGTGTGTGTGTGTGTGTGTGTGTGTGTGTATGTGTAGGTTAAAAGCCCTGCTTTTAAAAGATAGTAAAAAGAGTTTATTTTTTAACAGCTCCTGAAAACTTTGGGCTTAGCCCAACAAAACCACCAAAATCTTGTAAAATTTTAATAAGCTGGTTTGACAGTCTGCTATCTAGCATAAATCCTACTCTAAAAGAATTCCTTTTCTCAAAGCATTTGTAACACACACATACACACACAATGACTAGGTAGAATAAGATGGAAAAGACAAAAGCATCCTTGGAAATATATGCCAATCATTTTATGTCTGTACAACAGTGTTATCAGTTACCTTTATGTAATATGGCTAAGGAAAAACTCTGTGGCTTGTTTTGAAACAGCAATAAAGATACCACATATTTATAATTCCAGTGATCCCAGCCCTCTAGCCTAAGAGATCTCCACCAATTACAAACAGATCAAAAGCAGCTCTGTGTCTTATTCATCTCCTTATTCACCTCCCAAATATTTGTCGAGTGCCAGGATCTTGCATTTGATGGAAAGGAAGAGAGAAAGCCTAGCACTGAGCAAGGGCCTCCATAAAAGCCTGCTCTCTGGAATTGGAATCACCAAGCCATCTGCCATGGCTTTGCTCCTTGGTGCTTGAAGGGTTACCAGTGGCCTCTCTCTCCTCAGAAATGGATGACAGGGGCTCCCGGGTGGCTCAGTAAGTTAAGTGTCTAACTTCTGCTCAGGTCATGATCTCACAGTTCATGAGTTCGAGCTCCACCTCCCCCTCCCCCCACACCTCTGTCTCTCTCTCTCAAAAATGAATAAACATTTAAAAAAAAAAAAGAAAGAAATGGATGACATACTTTTCCCCTGGTATCTTCCATCTATTGAGATCAAAATTTTGAAGGAATTTAAAGAAACAACTTCTTTTTTTTTTTTAATGTTTATTTATTTTTGAGAGAGAGACAGAGCACAAGCAGGAGAGAGGCAGAGAGAGAAGGAGACACAGAATCTGAAGCAGGCTCCAGGCTCTGAGCTGTCAGCACAGAGCCCAATGCGGGGCCCGAACCCATGAACTATAAGATCATGACCTGAACCGAAGCCAGATGCTCAATTGACTGAGCCAGCCAGGCGCCCAAGAAACTTCTTGCAAAAACATTTTAGATCCCTGTACTGTAGCGCTGAATGATACCTAATGGTTAATTGTTTAAGCTTCCTTCATAGGCACAGACAGCAATGGTATTACCCTCCATTATCCAGTAGATAATGGCCAGTGGTCAGTGTTCATGCGGAGTGCAGGCATTGTTTAAGGACATCACAAATACTGATTCATTTAATTCCCACAACCTTATGAAGTAGGCACATTTCATATATGAGGAAACTAAGGTATGGAAAAGTAAGTTACCCACAGTTAACAGCTGCATGAAGCTGGGATTGGGACCCAAGACTCTGGATTCGGAGCCCATGGTCTGACGCACTCAATCAGTAATGAGAATCGTGCTTAGAAAAGATTGTTTTCTCACACATGTGGTTTCTACTCTATGAAGGCTTGAGAGACATTTCCTCAGAATAGCTTTACCATGCATGGCATTGCGCTAAAAGTTAATTGGATAGTCACCATCCTCAGAATGGAACTTTTACCTTATCTATCAGTTCCTTAGATTTCATCAGTTCTTCCATTTTTTTACATCCTTCTGAGGAAAGTAATCCAAACTACATAATTTACTTAGAAAGTAGACATTGTGTGAATGGTGGGACTAAGGGAGTTAGACATAAACTGTTCTATGTGGCATCTACAAGTCACCAAATGTTTTAAAACTGCACAGTTGTGACTCTTACTGTTTCATACCCTGTGTTCCTTGTCAAGAATAATGGCGGTCCCCGGGTGAAGGGCACAAGAGCAATACTTGCTGTTGTTCACACACTTTCAGTTGGAGATTCTCTTCTGATAGCAGGGATGCTGGTACCTGGCAACAGAAGTAAATAGGTGTTGAATTGCCACCCGATGTCCCTGAGAATCTAGGTTATTTAATATCCTCACATTTGGAGTGATTTTTAACAGCTCTGTAAAGACAAGCCATTCCCACCTATCGTCTTTCCCCCATGGGTTCCACAGAATTTTAACAATAAAAGGGAGTGAGGTAATGCAGAATTTATAAAAGATATGGAACAGCGAAAAAAGGTTGATGGAAAACACAGGGAAAAGGAAGTAGATGCTTATGAGAGATTATGAAGAAATGAAGATAAATGATACACTTTTGATAAAAATTTTGCTGTAGAGCCTTCCAGTACTTTGTTGTTTTTTAGCTGAGCGACAAAAGATCAACAGCCAGGGTGATTTCTCCCCATGTGGCACCTACTTGCCACATAAAGTTTCGTGATATATCTTTTGATTTGATTCCCAGACCTCTGGCACTAGGACTGTTCATCTACTAGAATTATCTTTTTGCCCCGTAGATCCTCATGGTGTACGAGAGCAGAAACTAACCCCACCCTCCTGTTATTTCTGGTGTACTCAAGGCTTCACTAAAGAGGTCTTTCACTTAGTATTAAATCTACGTACTTATTATTATCATAGATATTCTTACCAGACCAAGGTGCAGATAATTATGAATATCTGGTGATTACAGTTCTGTGAATTAAACAGAAAATTTCCTGTCTTCTCTGTTTCCTAGCAAGAGATATGGTGATGGTTTAGAAAAAGCCCCAATCTGTTACTAACTAGCTGTGTGACCTTAAAGAAAGCATTTTATTTTTCTGTGCCCCAGTTTGCTCAGCTGTGAAATGGAAGGGGTCAGTAACCTTCATGATCTCCACAATCCAGTCTAGATACAAACTTGTGGTCTTTTTCTCTATGCACATTTAAATAGCCCTAAAATAGGAAAGGAAATATTTCCTGTGACTTTTAAACCACTAGCACCACTAATTTCACCCCATGTTATGAATGCTCTGTTTTTCAAGTTCAGATACTGCTGGACAGACAGTGACCATTTCACTAAAGATGTTTTCATATTCATTCCAGTAGGCCAACTTCCTGATAATATTCAGTTCTTTAAAATGCGTTTCTTAAAAGTAATCTCAGAACATTCTGTTTATCTATTAGAGGCATGGTTTTGAGAAAAGGATGTTAACTTTTTATTCTGCCTTATGTGTTGACATTTTCCCAAATACGTCTTGGAATAATTTGAATAGTCATCTCCCTTTCTCTGTCTCTCTCCGTCTCTCTCTCCATATATATCTATATATCTTATAGATATAGGTGATTATATATGGTTACTATTTATATATAGTAATGATAACTCAACATGCATGTGCAGAAAAACAAACTTTTGTTTAGACTGCTTACAAGTTTAAACCTAAAGCTCACTAAAACACACCATGATACATATTTCCTTTTGTAAAGTCAGCTTTTAAAGAGATTACCTTATGTTTAGTGTACTAATTGTATTCTTTATAAGCTGTAAGAATAAGATGAACCTAAAATATTTTAAAAACACAATACTATACAAATAGTTACTGAAATACTCTATAGTGTTTATACTGTAGCATGATTCTATATAGTTTTCCTTTGTTAGATAAGAATGATGGAAATTAATTAGATATTTACAAGCACCTTCACTAGTTGATTTGTAGGCAGGTAATTTTACTGTCAAAAACTAATTTGCTCACGTGTTCTGATATTTGATGTGAATTGTAAGTGATATTATTTTAGTTCCATCTCCTGTGTTAATTTTCTCATTTGATGTGATTTGCTCCATTTTCCTAATAGCAATTACTTGGCGAGCTATCAGAGGTAACCCACATTTGATCCCTCATGGCACTTCTTTCTAATAGCATTTTTGGATTCAATTTCTGGACTTAACACCCTCCAAACACAGTTCCAGCTGTGCCTTTTTTTTTCACTGCACAGTTCCAAAGAGACCAAGTTTAGAGGAAAAATGTGTAGGTTAAATTTTTAAGAACAGTTCAATTTCAATGGCTTGGTTGGGCTTGCTTGCATAACTTCCCCCCTGAAGCCATCTCTTACATGAATTAGGAGCTTATCTCTAAATAACTGTCTTTACTCCTGGAGAATTTCAGCTTCAGTGAAAAGTGACTCATTCTGACTTAATTATCAATAAGAAAGTAAATTTGCCATGGGGTCTAGTCATTCTGACTCCTTTCAGAGAAAGAGAAGACAGGGAGAGAGAGATTTTGATTTAAACAGAGCTTTAAATATATTTGTGGGAGATAAAAGGCAAGAGTTAGGATGGTGACAGTCACTATGGAGAGGTAGAGTCACTACCTCAAGGTGACCAGTCATGCCGGTTTGCTCACAAGTGAGGAGTTTTAGGGACGTGGGACTTCCAGTGCTCATACTGGAAGAGTTTGGTCAAGAGTTGTCAGAGTCAGGATTTATTCAGAGCTTCAGTGCTTGGTTCAGGAGAAGAAGGTGCAGGGTACGGTTCTGCTCTCCAAGACTTCCTGGAAGTTGAGGAGCCATCAATTTGGATCTTCCTCCAACCGAAAACAACCAAGAGACAGAAGTAACGAAGGAAAGGGCAGTAACTGGGTGGTGGGTAAAGGAGATTGGGAGGGACCCAGAGAAGTGATTTCAAGAGGCCGTACCGATGCTCAGTTTCCTCCGCACCAAGAGTGAGGAGTTGGCTTCCACAGAAACACTGCCCTGGTGGCTGTTTCAGAGCAGGTTCTGGTGGTTTGAGGAAACACTTCTGCCCCTCTTCATGCCATAGGCTGGAGACAGGAGGCAGGAAGAAAGGATCAAGAAAAGGGGAAAATATGCAAGGAAATTCATGACAAGTCTTCATACGGTTTCTCTTTAATCAACCACATGTATTTTAAGCCTATTATTCTGTTAGCTGGGACTGATAAGGTTGCATTATGCGGCAGGGACAGGTGAATGAGGTGAGGCAGGAGCTTTGGCGAGCCTGTCTCCAGACTCGACTCTGCCGGTAACGTGCAGCACATCCCATTTCACAGTATTATTCGGCGGATTGCAGAACACTAGCTGCTCTTGTTTTTATGAAAGCAGAAAATATGAATCACATCCTGGAATGCAGGGCTGTAGCATTTTTGTTTGTTTGTTGAGTCTTTAAAAACAATAATTTAAACTGACACTTTTGAGACCCTAACGTGAGAATTCACTGACCCTTTATGAAATGATATGCAGAGGATATTCTTGTCAAGGGAACATTACTTATACATTTATCAGAGGACTTTGGTGTGTGCTAAGTATAACATTTTGGTGATACTTGCTGTATTTTGGTTGCTTTTAAGTATCTTATTGGCCCAAATATAGAGAATATTTTTTATGGGGAATAATAATAATAAAGTAAACTCTGTTGTTGAATGTATCAGGAATGTTTTTAAGCCTCCAATGCCGAAGGGGTCAGCAGGCTCTCTCTTTCTAATCTAACTTCCTGTGCCATCTAACTTCCTGTCCCATCTGACTCCCTGTCCCATCTAACTTCATGGCACGCTCTTTGGATCTTGCCCTCTATTCCTTCCCTCCTTCTTCCCTTCTTCCTTCCCCTTCTCTGTATATCCCAATAGCTGGCAGCATTGCAACCTTTCTTTCGGTTCTGCTTTCATTTCTGCCTAATACCCTTCCCACCTTCTTCACCCCACTGGCTGGTGAGTGGTAGCTTTTAAAGAAACAGCAGAGAAGAACCGGGGTTTCTTCCCACACCGGTTTCCACAGGTGCTACTCATTTGCTGTGAAGGCGACTATGATGATGTGTGTTTCTTTGTTTTTGCTTTTTTGGTGGTTTTTTTTTTCTTTGTTAGTAATTTAAAAGCAGTGTGTGTTGTGTATTTTTATGTTTTTCATCTCTGTGGAAATTGGGGAGGCTTCTTTTAAAATCAATACCACCTTATATTTGGGCCAATTTAGGAATTAAAAGTACATACTGTTGTAACCAAAAGACCAGATTACCAAAAGGCCTACTTTTTTGCATTTTTTCTGCTAATCTTGAATTGTGGCATACTTAAAATCATGCCATTGCAGTATCTAAGCTTTACATAAATGATACACCACTGTTCCGTATCTGTGATTTTACAAAACAACACAAAAAGCAAAAGCACCCAAATACTGCCTTTTGAGAATTTGGAATTTGTTATATTGCAGTTATCTATTAGTTAAGATTATTTTGTTTAAAGTTTTAATTCTCCTTTGTACTTTAATAGGGAATATACATAAATAAAGTTTTCTAATAGCCTAACAGTCATGATTTAAAAATTACTGAAAGTTATTGTGTATTTTATTTCTTAAAAAATTTTTAATGTTTGTTTATTTTTGAGAGAGAAGGACAGAGTGTGAGCAGGGGAGGGGCAGAGAGAGACACACACATAGAACCCAAAGCAAACTCCAGGCTCTGAGCTGTCAGCACAGAGTACGATACAGGGCTCGAACCCATGAACTGTGAGATCATGACCTGAGCCAAAGTTGGATGCTTAACTGACTGAGCCACCCAGGCGCCCCTGTTACTGTGTTTTTTAACACATTCACCTTTTTTTAATACAAATCCCCACATGGACTGTTTTTAATATGTTTTCTAGTTGCAGTCATAAACATTTAAAGACCACACCATTACCCTCACCACATTTTACCCCACAGCATTCCTGTTTAACAAGGAAAATTTCTGATTTCAATAAGCTAATATTAAAATGATGGCAGAGAGTGTCAAGGCCTGAAAAAATTAACAGCATTTTAAAATTAGTTATTGTAAAACATAGTCCTGAGATGTTTTATCTACTGAGATATTACCCTTTTTCTTAACAAGCTACATGGGAAACAGCAGAATTAAACATTATTTAACCTAGCATACTTTTACACCAAGGAGTAAATAATGCTTTGTGGTATTGGCATTTAAACTTCCAGTGCAATTAGAGGTTAATATTGATACAAATTGTAAAATAATCAGAAATCTTTTGCCGTACCCTGGTGTTGTGGGATTCCAAGTTCAATTTTTATTTTTTGACCTTTATTACTATTATTAATACTACTATTTGCTATTAGTTATATTTTTAACTTTTTAACTTACATTTTGAATTTGAACAAATATGTAGAATATTTAAAAAATGATTTTTAATGATCATTATAGTAAATAGGATTGGGTGTGAGTGTGTGTGCATGCGTGTGTGTATGTGTATGGATTTGATACGGATTTGCAGGTAAGTTTACAAATAAATAGCCAACAGTGTCCTGTTAAAGTATAAATTGTTTTTGTAGCCCAGGTTTTATATTTTTGCAATCTCTGATTATTTGTCTTTTTGTAGAAACAAAGGATGGAGTATGGTCCCAGACCAGTGGACACTCCCTCTGCTCCGTCACCTCCTCCAACACCTGCTCTGGTTCCTGTCCCCCTTCCTCCTTCTACTCCAGCACCCATTTCTGTGCCAAAGGTCCCGGCAAACATAACCCATCAGAACAGCAGCTCCAGCGACAGCGGTGGCAGTATTGTGCGAGATAACCAGAGACACAAACAGCTTCCGATGGACCGTAAGTTTCCCAGGGAGGCAACAATATACAGCTTCTTCCATGAATCAAAAGCACTGCTAAGTAAGATAATGTGTATGATTAGTTCTACTGGTATAAACAGCATTCAGTGTAAATAAGTGGTCCTTTTACTTGCATGGTATTTCATAGATTACAAAGACTTTTCACCTAGTTTCTTGTCCTTCAGGTAATTCTAAGAAACTGGGAGTTCTGTGCACTCTCTATTGTATCGTATTGTATACATGTCTATGCATAGTCCAGTATATCGTGGTGGTTGAATGCAGACTCTGGTGCCAGACATACTCGCGTTTGTACAGTGAAACACCACTTATGGGCGTGTGACCTTCAACAATTTAAGAATCCTCTCTGTACTTCAGTATCTGAAAAGTGGGGGAGAATAATGGCATCTGTGTCATAGGATAATGGTGAGGATTTAATGAAGTAATACATTTAAAGCATTTAGATCAGCCATTCTCATCCGGAGATGGTTATGCATCCACCCCCCACAAGGGAACATTTGGTATTGTCTGGAGATGTGTTTTCATCACAGTAGGGTAGATGCTACTGGCGTCTAATGGGTAGAAGCCAAGGGTGTTTAGCAACATCCTACAGTGAACAGTTCAGTCCCCCTGCAACAGAATTATTTGGTCCAAAATACCAGTGTGGCTAAGGTTGCAAAACTCTGATTGATGTGACGAATATGACCCACAATAAGCAGTCAGCCAGTGCTTGCTGCTGTCAACCTCAGTGTCATAATCGTGGTGTCCCTGCTCTTCTTCCTCACATTTGTGACCCATGCACACTCACATTAGCTTGACACCGTCAACTTGGAATTCCAGTTTCAGATTTGCCCTCCAAATTCAGATTTCATTGGATTTAGACTCCAAATTCATATTTTCATAAATTGAAGTTTGATTTTTCACATGAATGTTTCTGTGAAAACCAGATTTTAAAAGCTAAGAGAAAAGACACCATGGTAAACTTTGGATTATCCTCATTAGCACTGTTAAGCAGCAGTGTAGATCAGTTGAAAATTGAAGGTACTTCTACAATAAGTGTTCTTATTATTTAATCTTCCATAGTATGTTTGTATAAGTATCGTAAAGTTACTCTGCTTTACCTATACTTGACATGTAAAAATTTGCGGGACACTAGAGCCAGGAAGATATTCCCTGAACATGATAAAAGTATATAAAAGGCATCTTGTGTGTGCCCATGCATGTGTGTGTGCACCTGAATAAAGGATGTCTGTCTTATCTTCATCATGGGCTCTCCTAGGGCTCAGCTCTGGGATCTTCCCTCCATGGAAACATATTCTTACTGCAAGTGATCAATCTATTTCCATTTCTTTCAATACTGTCCATATTGCTGGAGAAGGAATGACTCCCAGATTTGTCTCCACACCAAATCGCAGCTCTGCCATCCGGATACAAGAATTGAACTGTTCACTTTAAAGCTGAGATTAGAGGGTTAGATTTAAAACCAAACGACGGGATCCTTCCCTCCAACTTTCACCCTACATTTTTCTTGTTTCAGTAAATCAGACCCACATCTATTCAGTTGTGGTCATTCTTGATAATTTTTGTTTAAAAATTTAAAAGATGACATGTATATTATTGTTGAGTTCTAGAAATTCTGGCTAAACGCAGTAAGCATTAGCCTACTTTTATACATTACTTACTTTCCCCAAGTAAAGCTGATTATCCGTATCCCAACCCTACGAAAAAAAAACTAATGGAATAGTGAAGTTTTAGAGAAATGGTGAACTGTGCTGCAAAAACTGTACGAGAATATGTCAGTGTATATAAGCGTAATATGTTATGAAGTTTTTTGAATGTTTGTGTATTTTTTAAAAATTGGTTTTACTTTTTTTCAAAGACACTTAAAGACATAGTTTTGAGATGAGAAAGTTCTGTAAATATTTTTATTGATTTCCCTAAGGAAAATTTTCCTCTGAGAAATGAACATTCTTTTTTCATTTTCACCACAAGTTTATAACCCTTTTCTTCTTTGATACGTCAGCATCGTGATCTTTGACACGGTGGCCGTCCTCCTAGGCCTAAGCCCGACTCCATAAGCATCTGGTCCCCTTGGAACGCTCTGTGGGCTGGGACAGTTTGTTTTTTGTCCTAGTCTAAGAAACTAAGAATAACCTAGTGGGAAAGAGGCATACTTTGAATACTTTCAAGATAGAGAACTCTCCTGATAATTGTGACTCATCACTTTCAAATCTGCTGTTCGTAAGGGTGACATTGGCATATAAAATATAAACCTTTCTCCCCAAATTAACAGCTGTACATTTTTCTTCACAATAACAAAACGTTGCATGTATCAATACAAAGTTCTCTTTAAAGATACCTCACTCAGATGCATAGTTTCACATTAAATAAATGTATTTCTTTTTCTGAAAGAATAATTTTTGTGAAAGCTTTCTCCTGAGCACATTTTTGGAGAACGTTTCTTTTCTGAATGAATGTTGGGGCTTCTCAACAGTCTTTTAGATCCAGACAGACACACCGAAATGTGTATTTGTCGATAGCCAGATTTCTCTCAAATAAGCTTTTATGCTTCCTACATTCTCTGCTTACTGCTTAGCCTTGAGATTAAAGTAGAAGAAACTGGAAAATGAATACTCACTCAAAAAAAAGTTACCAAGGAGCCGTACACAAGGAAAAATGTCAACACGCCTGTTTTTAAAATGTAGCACCTAGCAGGGGTGAGACAGAGCGACTCACCCTTTGCAGAAGTTAACCGTGGTTGCCTATTCAGACTGGCTGTTCGGAGCCACACGTCGCAGAAGCCACACGTCGCAGAAGCTATTCACATTGGTTCATTGCAGGATTTAAAAAGGTTCCCCTCTTCTCTCTTTTTTTTCAATAGTTTATTGTCAAGTTGGTTTCCATATGACACCCAGTGCTCATCCCAATCCTCTTCTCACTTGTGAAGAAACCAACACTTTAGTTATTTTGCATTTCTTCTACTTCCTTTGAAATGTTAGTCCTTTTATTTGGGTTTAATCTTCTGTAAATCAGAAGTGTTGTTTCAGAACAAGGTGTAAAGTTAGTCTGGTTTGTTGTGTGCTAGAAAATAAAAAAGAAAAGGAAAAGAAAAAAGACAAAAAAGATCATAGAACAGTGTCACAAAAAGCTCCCTTATGGGCCAGGTCATTGCCTCTTACGAAGTTAATTAGTCAACTGGATTATTATATCAGTTCTTTGTATTTAATCATTGACGGTATCATACAAATAATGTACCTATATTTGTGTGTGCATATATTTATCTATATATGTATTATGTATATATATGTAATATATATAATATAATCTATAATGTTTTTAAATACACAAATACATTATTCCCTTTCCTATACCTTCATTTCTTCCCCATTTTTCTCATAAAGATAGTGTGTATACACATCCTTCCCATAATCATAAAATGGGTGGTAGAGAGGGATAACATGTATCCTAATAAAAGGTAGTTTCAGTGACTTTGATCATAAAGCGTCCATGAGCTGAAAGCCAGGAAATCCGGTCTAAATTCTGCTAATTAACAACAGTGCGATTCGACACATCATTTCTCCTCTTTTGACCTCTGTTTTCTCAGCTGTTTAATTTAGGAGTTTGTATATGATGCTTTTCAAAGTCTCACTTAGTGAAAAAGTCAGCAGAACGCCTCAGTCATTCATTTGTTCAGTGAGCATTTACTGAATCCCTACACGGTTCCAGGTGTTTCAGGCAAAGCAAACAAAGCAGGCAAACATCCCTTTTCTCTTCAGGCATGTACTTTGATGAAAGGAAATGGATACATAAGTGATTGAGTTGACGAGGAATATTAGAAAGGGGTAAGCGGTTTTGTAGAATAATACAGCCACGTGGATGGGAAGTGCTGTTGGGAAGGGGGTTGCCATTTTAAATAGGGGAAATCTGAGGGAGGGGAAGAATGAACCGAGTGGATTTGTGGGGGAAAAGCATTCCAGGCAGAGGCCCCTAAATTTGAAGAGCCTCAAGGAGGCCATTGTGAGCGAGAGCAGAGGGCTGCACGGAGACAGTGGAGTCACCTCAGGAAGTGGTCCTCTGAGACCTTTCACTGGGAGTAATTTTATTTCTTGGAAAGGTTTGGAGCAGAAGAGTTGCAATATCTGACTTATATTTTACAAAGGTCATTTTAGCTGCTGTACTGAAAACCGAATGAAGAGCACAGGGTGCCGTGGTAGAGAATAGAAGGAAGGCAGGAGATAGTCCAGTGGCTCAGACCAAGCTGGTCACAGAAAAAAATGGAGCAAGCGGTCAGATTTTTCATATGTTTTGATGAGAGGACTAACAGAATTTGCTGATAGGTTGGATGTAATAGAAGACAAAGGGGAGTGGAGCGTAGCTCCATGGCATTTTGCCAGAGGAACTGAAAAAATAGAATTACCATGAACTAAGTTGGGAAGTGTAACATGAAAACAAGCTTCGGGAAGAAGAGAAGCCTTTCAGATTTGGGCATGTTAAATTTGAGCTACCTAATAGACATCCAAATGGATATATCAAGAAGGTGGTTGGCATACATGGGTCTAGAGTCGTGAGGGACAGTCTAGACTGGAGAAATAATTTCGGCAGTCATCAGCTTTTAAAGGGCACACTGCTCGTTGATGGGGTGAGTTCAGCCAGAGGAGAAGTCCAAGGATTATGCCCTGGGGTACGTCAACATTACTTACTGGGGAGATAAGAAGAATCAGGAAAGGATACTGAGAAGGAGAGGCCAGTGAGACAGGAGGGAAATCAGGTGAGTGTGGTGTTTTGGAGGCCACAGGAAGAAGGCATTTTAAGGCATTTAAGACATTTTAAGACGGCATTTAGGGTATTTTTCATATGTTGCTGGTAGGTTAAGTGAGACAGTGACTGGGAATTGACCATAGGAGTTTAGCAAAATGTAGCGGAGGGACGGGGCTAGAAGTCTTATTTTTTAACAATGAATTCAAGAGAAAATTGGAGAACAAGAATGGGAGTCAGCTAGTCCAGACAAATTTGCGGGGAATTTGTGCAAAGGGGGGCAGAGAAATGAGCAATAGCTGGGAGGGACATGGGCTCAAGAGCATGTTTATTTCGGGGAGAGGAACAATAACAAAATAGTAGTGTGTTTGTATGCTGATGAAATGATCCAATAAGAAAGGAAAATGCAGAACCTAGGATAAGTAGAGGAGAAATTACTGTCCAAGTATTTAACTAAGCAGAAGAGGGGCACCTGGATGGCTCAGTTGGTTAAGCGTCTGACTTTGGCGCAGGCTCAGGTCATGATCTCAGAGTTTGTGAATTTGAGCCCCACATCGGGCTCTGTGCTGACAGCTCAGAGCCTGGCACCTGCTTTGGATTCTGTGTCTCCGTCTCTCTCTCTGTCTCTGCTCCGCCCTCACTCGTGTTCTCCCTCTCCCTTCCTCCCTCCCTCTCTCTCTCTCTCTCTCTTTCTCTCTCTCTCAAATATACATAAAACATTAAAAATGAAATAAATAGGCAGAGGACATGGGGTCTATTGCACATGTTGAGGGGTGGCTCTTCCTTAGCATGGAAACAGTTCATCCGTAATGTAATAGGGAGAGAGAGAGAAAGAGAGAAAGGAAGAGACGGAGGGAGGGAGGAAGGAAAGAAGAGTGCGTGGGGAAAGTGCTGGTAGGTGAACCACTGGGGGAACTTATGGAGGTTCTCTTATAACTTATTTGACATTAGGACAGTGAGGTCATCAGTTCAGGGTGAGAATTGGGGAATGAGTGTTGGAAATTTGCAAAGAAAGAAGATACCAAATACTTGTCTAAGGGGGCAGTTACTTGGTCTAGGGTAGATCCTCAACCTTGCTGACACGGGACTGGGTCATTCTCTGCCGTGGGAGACTGACAGGGACACTGTAGAATGGTCTGTGCATCTCGGGCCTCTACCGACTCCAGGATAGTTGCATCCTGTCTCCTCCTCCCCTCGAATTGTGCCATCCACAAGTGTCTCCAGCCATTGCCAGAATGTCCCTGGGGTCACGTTTCCCCCACTTGAGACCAGGGCCCTACGGAAATGCGGTAAGATTGTCAGGAAACATTAAAAGCCTGGTTGAGGTTCATATTCATGAATTTAACATGAGATCCTTCAGCCCTGTTGTATTATACTCAGTGTGCAGGTGCAGGCACAGAATAAGCAGAAAGTGAGCGTTAACAAGGGGTGGGGTTTTGCCCAACGAGTACAACGAAGAGAGAGAAGAGCCAAGGAGCGATTTTAATAATTGATCGTGGACTTTGGACCGGGTGAGGATGAAAGTGACGAAAGATGATAGGAACAGTAGATTGTAAGTCCGCTTGGAGTCCAAGGATTTTTGGCATTGGGCTCTAGAGAGAGTGACACCTGTTAGCGGTTTTCAGAAATAACCTACTCTGTGCTGGTGCCTAGGAAGGAAATCTCAGATGGAGGAAGTGCAGGACGAGCTCATCCACAGACTCACCATCGGTCGGAGTGCCGCGCAGAAGAGGTTCCACGCGCCACGGCAGACCGTGCCGGTCGTCAATATCACTTATGACTCCACGCCAGAGGACGTGAAGACGTGGTTACAGTCAAAGGGGTTCAGCGCCGTGTAAGTCTCTGTGGGAATACTTTACGCTGCTGTGTGTAAAAATCTGCCTTCTTTTCGGTTTGGTCGCTAAGATGCCGCAAGTGACTCTTTAAAAATTTAGGGAGCCCAGACTGCATGTGTTCCCTGCTCAGGAAATAACTATGGGTATTTACAGCTAAAAGTCTATACTATAATCACTATAATTCGGTGGTGCTCTATTTTCTAGGTGATGGTGCCTGCTTACCATTGGTCCTTGAAGCAGACTGTCAGTAGCTTTGAGGAGGTAGCTTCCCTTCCCCCACACCAGGTTACACAGGGTAGGACTAAGGTCTCCGCTAGACCCCCCAGACGGTGACGGACATATCTTTTTCTACGGCAAAATATAGATTCTCAGCCAAATAAAAAATAGATACATTACCCATCATAGATTATAGCCTAAAAGGGCTTTTCCCTTAGTGAACCCATGGTAAAGATTCTGTTTATCTACATTTATGTGTATTTGATACAGTGAACTATTTCAATAACACATGTTCAAGGGAAATTTGATATTATAAACCTACATACCCAACATGAGTGAAAAATGGGATACACTGGTTAGCTGCCTGGTTGCTACAAAGTTATCTGTTCCGCCTATGAAGCACCCTATTTCAGCGACTTGGTACTCAACAATAGTGATTCTAAATACTTCACGATCATCTTATATAGCCTCGGGGTCATCGTCAAGGAAGTCCCTGGTCAGTGCCCTATTAAGTACCGAAGTACCATTTTCTAAGAGTTTCATTGTACGGGAACACTTGGGAAAGACAGGTAAGAGCAGGACCAGAATGATCGTGTTTTGAACGCTGCATTTCTTTTTCTCCTGTGTTTTTCAGGACTGTCAATAGTCTTGGAGTATTAAACGGCGCACAGCTTTTCTCTCTCAATAAAGACGAACTGAGGACAGTCTGCCCTGAAGGGTCCAGAGTCTTTAGCCAAATCACCGTACAAAAAGCTGCGCTAGAGGTAAGACTTGTCAACCCAGGGTGGTGTTTTTCCTGCATGAATCAGGAGGGTGGTCTGCAGATTGAAAGCTCTGAACTCAGCCCTTGAGGTCCACGTTGGTCAGTTTCCCGCTCACAGAGAGCCGAATTAAATTTGACTGAGCTTTTATAATTTACCACTGGAGACCATCAGTGACCATTTGCAGGAAGACTGATTTATCATAAATGCTCCTATAACATGAAGCTTGGAGCATATACTTTGGGACATTAAATGAAAAGCCTGATGCGCTCATTTCATATGCATCAACTACATCTCTAGGAATTTAAATTTCGACACAGTAGTGGACATTCACTTCTGAGTGAGTAATGCCTTAAGAGGCCAGAAGTCTTTTGCCTGTTCTTGATATTTAGTTTGGAGGATTCTGGAAGGTTAGTAGTTATATAGTCTTAAAACCCTGGCTTTGTGTCGTAGGTCTTGTCATGCATCTGAAGAATCAGAGGGACAATACTGGGTAGGGGTCACTGAAAATAGTGGCGAAGACAACTTATTTAGTCCTAGCTGTGTGTAGGAAAGGAAGAGAGTGAACATTTTCTAGATTGAATACCCTTAAGCTTCCAGTGTGCTACTCTTCTCAAAATGGGCTGTGTGAGGGTAGTAGTTTCAAACTGTTCTATCTCACAGCTCTTAATGGCTTTCACAAAATTATACTTGGACTCAGATGAAAGGACATTGGCTTTGGTGTAAAATTGATACATAATTCTCTCTAGCAGGTGTATCATCTAAATTCAACAGTTAAATAAGTCAGAGTGAAATAGCTTCATGCATGCAACCCTGTAACCACTCTTAGGAGAAATTTGATTTCCTTGGCAATGTTTCCTACGGTAATGATCTTGGGAGTTCCCTATTAGGTGAATCTCTGGGGTGTTCTATATTAGGCCTTCTTTCTATTGAATATGAATAAGAATTATATTTTTTCTGAGGCAGGTTTTTTTTTTTTTTTTACCATTACATATTTTAATTTTATTGAGAGTATATAAAATTACTTCTTAAGAGTATGATAGAAAGGTCCAGAGTTCCCGAATTCCTTTGTTCCAGACTGCCTATACTTTGTCCTCAACCCCCGTTTCCTCTTGGTCTCTTGCTTCTGTTCCTCTGGATGTGAACTGAGGCAGACTGACTACCTGAGGTTCTTCATCTTCCTCAACCGCCTTCCCATTACACCCTTCTGCATTTAGTCCATCTTTTACAGGACTCACCTGGGTTGCTGGAAACTTCCATTGATGAGAGCAGAATAAGGAGGGTGCCCAGGGATCATAGGTAGGGCCTGACAAGGAGAGTTGACATGATGTCAGAGGGTCAGAACCTTCGTGGATTCTGAAGGGAACTTGGTGTATTCTGAGCACAGTCTCTGAGCCTCATTTAGAATCCCCTAAAGGCATATGAACATCTTGCTTGACTTAAGAGGATTCTTTGATAATTCACCATCTTATCGTGCTTATCGTGCACACATTTTCTTTCTCCCAGGGAATCTGGAGCATTCCGCATACATTATTGAGTTATCTTTATCATGTTCAGGTAAAAGGCATAGTGAATGAATTGCCTTAAGACTTCCCATAAATGAAAAACTGATTAATGGGATGGATTAGTGAAGTCCAGAAGCATCACTTATATGAAGGGCAGCCTTCCGTTTTCCCCAAGAGATAATTAGAAGAAAAACAAAGGACTTTTACCCTGAACCATTTCATTACATGACCTGAAGCCTGCACAAACCAGTCACCATCTTGTCTGAACCGAGTTTATTTTTCAGGATAACAGCGGCAGCTCCGAGTTGCAAGAAATCATGCGAAGACGACAGGAGAAAATCAGTGCTGCTGCTAGTGATTCAGGAGTGGAATCTTTTGATGAGGGGAGCAGTCACTAATTTGTTTTTAAACTCCATTGAAATTTTTGGCATTATTCCAACGTGCTTTGTTTTAAGAAGCCATGAAGGGAATGTCAGATCCTTATTTCTTGGAATACTTAATTTATCGCCATAAAGAAACAATGCAAACATAAGTAAGCAGAGGACTTGTTTCCTGGCCCATTATTTTTATTAAAGCTGAATACTTTTAAATAGATGTTTTACCCTTGGGAAATGTGTTGGCCTACTCCACCAAGGTCAGGTTTCCTTTACTGGATTACTTATGTCATCCCCACCTCAGTGGATAAGCCGGCATTTTTTGACAGTGGTGAATTTACTTCTTGCAGCAAAACTAAGATATTGTCCGTGATTTATAATCTAAATAATTTTAGTTTTGCCCATGACTCTGGTGTCTGTCATTCCGAGTGTAGCTTGCTTTAGGCTAGCCTCTGCTTACTTAGGTCTCTCCTTTGACATACTCAATGATAGAACGTTTAGATTTATTTAAAGTTCTTAATGCCAACGGTTTTCTTTAAAAAAAATCAAAACACTTAATGAACTGTAAAGTACAACAAGGCCTTGGACATGCAAATAGAAGCCTAGGAAGCATCCCCAAGACATTTTATGTATCATGGCTCTGTTGATCACAACTCCTTGTATAGCCTGTATTTTGATTTAGTTTATATTCTGCTTATTATCTGTATTGTGTTCTTACATGTAAGAAAGCACAAGTGGAAAAGAGGTCATATACAGTCAAAGTGTGTCACAGGAAGTAGCCCACATTGGTGTACGTTACAGTATTTTGCTAACGAAGGCCTCAGTTCTGAATATTGATATAAGTAGTTAAAGGGATGTTGGGGCCATTTTATGTGTTTATCCGTGTCAAGTTCTTCTGGTAATAAGAAACACTTAATTTACACATATTTTAATCCCATGAAAGATTCTAGATAGAGAAAAGAAAGATACTTAACCTTCAACAAATGTTATTTTTGGAAACACAATTTTTGTCATTAAATGTTATATTATTTCACATATATGAAACAGATGTTATGTAAGAATGTTGTATATTTTAACATAAATCCATTTAGAGAGATTATCTAGATTCATTAATTTTCATAGTGCCTTTTTCACAGTCAGCTGGAAAGTCTGCAATAAACAGTATTTGCTGGATGTTAAGAAATGGCTTCCGTCTCACTGGCAAATGGGATCTGTGGTCCGTGGGCTGTGGATCAGGGTGGAATGGAATGGGAGCAACAAGCCGGCTCTTTTTTTATTTGTTGTGTTTTTGGCTGATCTCCAGTATGTTTCTGAGTGGGTAAAATCCGTTCTGCAATACTTTATTCACTGGTCTCTCTTCTTCCCACCTCTCTCATTTCATTATCTTTCCCTTCTACCCTCCAGTCAGAACTGGTCACAGCAGTGAAAACAAAAGTGCACGGCACTTAGGATTACGAAGTGCTCCCACAGAAGTGCTTCCTGAGGTTTCTGCAAGAACTCTGTGAGTTGTATTTTGTAGATCAGGAAACAGCTTCGCAGGTCTAATTTCCCCCCTAATTATGAAAGGCACGGGAGTTGCTAATCTTCCATTTCTGAGTCTCCCTGTAACAATGCCCATCGGACAGAGTGGAACAAACAAAGAGAATGATGAACGTGACTCCAGATCTTTTCCATGTCGTAAGCACAGACACACATTTATAACTTGGCCCTTACTGAAAATCTCTGAAAATGTAGGGGAGAGACGAGAGAAAATAGATAGGAAAGGTCAGATAACCTGAGTGTGTTGTGACGTAAGTGATATTGCAAGAACTGGTGTAGTTTATAAGGATGTCCGTGTGCTCTAAAACTCCAGTGGAAGATATCACCACGGTGGTGACTGCAGGAAGCAGTTAACTGCCTTCCGAGCTGTGGGAACAAAGGGAAGAGTTGGACTTAGCAGAATTTAGAATCTTTGAGGGAGACGGACTGTAGACTCTGGATCCAGACATCTGGGGAGTTTGGTCCGTGGTACCTGAGAATTTTAGAGAAAAGACCTCACAGTTGGTAAAAACAACAACAGCAGTGGGGCGCCTGGGTGGCTTAGTCGGTTAAGCGTCCGACTTTCGCTCAGGTCATGATCTCACGGTTCGTGGGTTCGGGCCCCGCGTCGGGCTCTGTGCTGACTGCCAGCTCGGAGCCTGGAGCCTGTTTCAGAGTCTGTGACTCCCTCTCTCTCTGACCCTCCCCTGCTCACGCTGTCTCTCTCTCTCTCTCTCTCTCTCTCTCTCCTAGAAATAAATAAAACATTAAAAAAAAAAAAAAACAGAAGCAGCAGCAGCAGCAGCAACAAACCTCTGAGAAGGAGGCTCGACCTGTCTGGTGCCGTTGCCTCAGCAATTCAGATAGGAATTCAGCTGAGAAAACTGGAAAGCAAACCCACCGAGCTGGGATGCAGACCTCAGGAGACCCCGCCAGCCAGCTGGGACTCAGATTTCCATGAGGGCACAGGGAGGCTGCTCTGGGAGCGCGGGGAAAACAAGCAAACTGGTAGCTGGAACCTTCTGGCGATCAATTGCTACTTACACAGTGAGCTAATGTTAGGGCGATGTTAATGTAATCAGGAGGTAAAACAGGAGGCAGCAAGTGGCTCGCCCCTTCCAGCTGCTTGTCCCCCTGCAGCACTCTCTGGGCGGGATCTGCTGGGAACACAGCTGGCGAAGTCCCAAATCACAAAGATGAGAAAAGAACGGTAGATTTGAACGAGCTCAATATACAGTCCATTCCAGTCCTGGCTGTTTGGCCTGGATAGTTGCTCCTCTGTACATATTTGAGATTCCATATAATAGTTTTTAAAAGTTCATACTTTTACCTAACAAGATGCATTCATCCTTTTCTTGTTTAAATAGTATTTAATATAAAGAATTGGTTAAATAGGCAAAAACAGAGCACAGAGGTGGTAATAATAGGACCCAGCTTCCACGCCTCGGGCTGGGGGAGCAAAGGGGGGGTGGGGAGGGGTTAGGTCTATTAGCATTTGGATGCCTGGGGAAAGGGCCTAGAAATCTTGGACCCAGAGCCTTGGGGGAGGCGCTGTCTGGTGTTGGTGCTGGCGCCTCAGGAACACAGAGGAGAGATGCCATGAAGAGCTGGGACAGAGACCTTTGGGGAGAGGATTCTGGACACTTGATGCTCATATCCCCGAGGAGGTGTAGTCATGTTGGTTCTGAAAGTGTAGGATGGGAGAATCTAGAAACTAGAATCACCTACCACCACTGGATTAATTGCTGCTGCCAAACTGGTGGTCTCTTCACTGGTGTTAACCCGTTCGGTTATAATGTGGCCTTTGTGTAGTTTTCTTCTTGGTTCCTGTTCTTGGTGTTCATTGAGCTTCTTGGAATTGTGGGATTGCAGTTTTTATTAAATTTGGCAATATTCTCAGCGATTATTACTTTTTTTTCCCCTTCTGTCCCTCCTGCCTTTCTAGCCTTGAAAGTCTCCCAATTTTATGTATATTAGACCATTTGACATTTCCCCAAGTTCCTCGATGCTGTTAATTTTTTACCTAACCTTTTTCTCAGAGTTTCATTTTGGGTGGTTTCTCTTGCTGTCTTCAAGTTCACTATTTTCTTCTGGAGTCTCTCGTCTAATTCTAGTCTCTTTCATTGTATTTTCCGTTTCAGACATTAGAGTTTTCATCTCTAAAAGTTTAATTTGATAGTTTAAAATATCTTCCATGTCTCAATTTACTTAATATTTCTTTATCAATCATAGAGAATACAGGGGCACCTGGGTGGCTCAGTTGGTGAAGCATCTGACTCTTGGTTTCAGCTCAGGTCATGATCTCACGGTTCATGAGATTGAGCCTTGCATCAGGCTCTATGCTGACAGTACAGAGCCTGCTTGGGATTCTCTTTCTCCCCCTCTCTCTGCCCATGCGGCCTCAAAATAAATTTTTAAAAATTATAGAGAATACAGTTAAAATATATGTCTTAATGTTCTTATTTATAGGTTCTATCATAACTTACAGGTTAATTTTAATTGAGTTTTTTAATGCATTATGGGGTCTTCTTTCTTTGTTTCTTTATGTGCCTGGTGATTTTTATTTGGATCAAAGACATTGTAAGTTTTACCTTTTTGGATTCTTCTATATTCCTATAAATATCTTCGTACTTTGTTTTGGGATGCTGTTAAGTTACCAGGAAAGAGTTTGGTTCTTTCTGATCTTGTCTTTGTCAGGGGGAACTTGAGAGTAGCATTTGCATTAAACCTAATTTTATCCCACTGGTGAGGCAAAACCCTCCTGAATACCCAACCTATTGTTCCATGAATTAGCATGTTTTCTACTCTAGCCAATGGTGAGAACTATTCCTGGTTTTGTGTGAGCTCTGATAATTGTTCCTGAAAGGTGGTTCCTTCCTCAACCATGAGCGTTTTCTCATGTGCTTTCACTGGTCCATTTTCAGCATAAGACTCTGTGCAGATCGTGGAGGGATCTCCAGAACTCGCTCTCCACACTGCTTTCTC